ACACACACACACACACATATATATATACATATACACACACACACACACACACACATATATATACACATACATATATATATATACATATATATATATACACACACCATAGAATGTCAAGGTGGTTTATCACCCGCATATCACTCTGTGAACAGTTGCCGTCCAAACAGCATTTATTTGCTGATCTATAAAAAATCCGCTTCTCTCTCGCCGTCACGCACTGTGTGCTCGCATAATATAGTAAACTTGGAGTGTATGGAAAATCCATTAGTTATAGCGACAGTTTAAAAAGCTAACAGAAAAGAGCGCTGATAATAAGCAGGTCACGGTAGACATTGTCCGGTTACCAGCTTGGGAAATGTATATTCAGGGCGCCATTCATGTCACAACCTGGCGAGCTGCAGTTAGAGAAGAGAGATGGCAGCGCCACTCTTAAGTGTAGACGGGTAAAATCAGGCAGATTTGATGGTAAAATTGCACTCACATAGGTAGGTAGCAGGTAGGCATGTCAAGTGATGGAGGTCCAGTGGGAGCATCAGGTCCTTTGGGTGTATTCACGCCGCTCCGGTGGTGTCCAGGGCTCGGGGAGTAGCAGAGGGGCGCAGGGAGGCTCGCAGGGATGATGTCACCGCAATTTGTTTCTATTATAAAATTTTGCAAACAGGTAATTCTTCCTTCACTGATGTGCATTGATGAGGCTGCACTGATAGGCAGCACTGATGGGCACTGATGAGGTGGCACGGATAGACAGCACTGATAGGCGGCATTGATGAGGCTGCACTGATGGACGGCACTTCTGGGCACTGATGGACGGCACTGGTGGGCACTGATAGGTGGCACTGCTGGACACAGGTGGGTGGCACTTCTGGGCACAGGTGGGCAGCACTTCTGGGCACTGATGGATGGCACTGCTGGGCACTGATAGGCGGCACTGCTGGACACAGGTGGGTGGCACTTCTGGGCACAGGTGGGCAGCACTTCTGGGCACTGATGGACGGCACTGCTGGGCACTGATAGGCGGCACTTCTGGGCACAGGTGGGCGGCACCGCTGGGCATGATGGACGGCACTGCTGGGCACTGATAGGCGGCACTGCTGGACACAGGTGAGCGGCACCGCTGGGCACTGATGATCAGGGCGCTGATCATCAGTGCTGATCACTTCTCTGACAATTGCTGGTTATTGGCAGTACTGTCCTCTCGCTGTGACAGTGTGAGGAAAGTGCAGCTGATAACCGGCAACTGTATTTACATTGTGATCTGCTGTGTCACTGGACACAGCTGATCACGTGGTTAAAAAGCCACTGTGATTGGCCGTTTATCATATCATATCACTGTGGGCAGCACAGTGGCTAAAACGGTTAGCACTTCCGCCTGGCATTACTCGGGTCGCTGGTTCAAATCCCAACCCTGGCACCACCTGCCTGGAGTTTGCATGTTCTCCCTGTGACTGCGTGGGTTTCCTCCAGGTACTCCGGTTTCCTCCCACGCTCCAAAAACATGCTGGTAGGTTAATTGTCCCTAGTATGTGTATGTATGAATGTGAGTTAGGGAACTTAGATTGTACACACCCCTTGAGGGTTAGGGACTGATGTGAATGTACAATATATATGTAAAGCGCGGCGTATATTGACTGCGCTATATAAGTACCTGAAATAAATAAATAAATAAATAATATCACGTGATCAGCTGTGTCCGTATTACACAGCGATCACCGGCGGCGCTGGGGACGTGTTCTGGAATGAAGTCCATGGTCGTCCTCCCAGAACTAGCCATCTTTCGGCTATACCGCGATTGGGAAGAGGTTAATGCCGGCTCTTCTTCTGTTTACATTCTGCTGTTAGTGGGGAATCCCCCCTGATAGTAGACGAGTCATGGTTGTTATAGGATGTGGCAGGTTCCTGCTCCTTAACAACCAGCTATTCACTGGGGTGTTGGCTCCTTAACAACCAGCTGAAAGGCCAATCATTCCCTCAATTTTGCATGCCTGGACCACTAATTCCAGCATTTATCGCTTGCATTTATTTATTTCCTTTACTGAATTGACTTTAAACACTGTTGTATGCTGTATTTTACCAAGAATTTTGCTTTTTGAGATAAATAGCGCATAAAGGGATAGTGAATTGCCATTTTCAGTACCATGTGCAATATTTGGGATTCATGCGATGCATGGAATAGCCTTTCGTAAATTGAACCCACTGTCCACTGTGCTGTACCGCATGCCAGTACATGTGCATTTTAGAGGTGTGCTGGGGTGCCATGCACAACTAATTGCACCGCAGCACACCAAGGCATTACAACCCATTGTGGTACCACGCACTTTATATTTTGAGCAGGGGCGGACTGATAACTCATGGGGCCCCCGGACAATAGGGGATCATGGGGCTCCTATGTCCTTGCCCAAACTCAAAAAAGCCTATGAAAAAGGTACCAGGGGCATCTCATGGGGCCCCCTACTGACCCCGGGCCCTCGGGCAGTGCCCGAGTTTCCAAATGGCCAGTCCGCCCCTGATTGTGAGTTACCACAACGTGATGGTGTAAGTGGCCCTCAAAGGAAACATGTCATGAGGAAGACATGAAGACAGGAGACTAAAATGTTTACCTCCCTATCCAAAAGTGCCAGTTCCAGGGCACTATAATTACAAACCTCTTGCCTCAATACTTTGAATCACCAATGTGCAGATAAGGACTTCTGACTTTTCTGCAACTTTCCTGATCCATACACTTTATTCAGGGTAGGGTCTCTGAGTATTGAGGCCAAAGGGGTCAAAATAACAGCCAGGCAACCAGCATCAGGGGAACACCAATGACAGCCCTCCCATATTTCTCACATTAAAGGTGCACTTTACCGCAATGGTCTGAACATAAACACTGCCCTCTTCTGTTGTAGCTTTTTTTTTTATTTTTTCAACCAGAAGGTGGCAGCATTCACTTATAGAGTACTACTGTCATATACTAATTCTATGTATAGAGTGTAATAGAGTGTATTATGATGGTGTCCAGTGGTGGGTCATGTTGGGGGTGTAGTGTTCTATGTATAGAGTGTAATAGAATTGTATTATGATGGTGTCCAGTGGTGGATCATGTTGGGGGTGTAGTGTTCTATGTATAGAGTGTAATAGAATTGTATTATGATGGTGTCCAGTGGTGGATCATGTTGGGGGTGTAGTGTTGTATGTAGAGAGTGTAATAGAATTGTATTATGATGATGTCCAGTGATGGGTCATGTTGGGGGTGTAGTGTTCTATGTATAGAGTGTAATAGAATTGTATTATGAGGGTGTCCAGTGGTCGGCCATGTTGGGGGTGTAGTGTTGTATGTATAGAGTGTAATAGAATTGTATTATGATGGTGTCCAGTGGTGGATCATGTTGGGGGTGTAGTGTTCTATGTATAGAGTGTAATAGAATTGTATTATGATGGTGTCCAGTGGTCGGCCATGTTGGAGGTGTAGTGTTCTATGTATAGAGTGTAATAGAATTGTATTATGATGGTGTCCAGGTGGTCGGCCATGTTGGAGGTGTAGTGTTCTATGTAGAGAGTGTAATAGAATTGTATTATGATGGTGTCCAGTGGTGGGTCATGTTGGGGTGTAGTGTTCTATGTATAGAGTGTACTATAATTGTATTATGATGGTGTCCAGTGGTGGATCATGTTGGGGGTGTAGTGTTCTATGTAGAGAGTGTAAAAGAATTGTATTATGATGGTGTCCAGTGGTGGATCACGTTGGAGGTGTAGTGTTCTATGTATAGAGTGTAATAGAATTGTATTATGATGCTGTCCAGTGGTCGGCCATGTTGGAGGTGTAGTGTTCTATGTAGAGAGTGTAAAAGAATTGTATTATGATGGTGTCCAGTGGTGGATCATGTTGGGGGTGTAGTGTTTCTATGTATAGAGTGTAATAGAATTGTATTATGATGGTGTCCAGTGGTGGATCATGTTGGGGGTGTAGTGTTCTATGTATAGAGTGTAATAGAATTGTATTATGATGCTGTCCAGTGGTGGGTCATGTTGGGGGTGTAGTGTTCTATGTAGAGAGTGTAATAGAATTGTATTATGATGGTGTCCAGTGGTCGGCATGTTGGAGGTGTAGTGTTCTATGTATAGAGTGTAATAGAATTGTATTATGATGCTGTCCAGTGGTCGGCCATGTTGGGGGTGTAGTGTTCTATGTATAGAGTGTAAAAGAATTGTATTATGATGGTGTCCAGTGGTGGATCATCATGTTGGGGGTGTAGTGTTCTATGTATAGAGTGTAATAGAATTGTATTTATGATGGTGTCCAGTGGTGGATCATGTTGGGGGTGTAGTGTTCTATGTATAGAGTGTAATAGAATTGTATTATTGATGGTGTCCAGTGGTCGGCCATGTTGGAGGTGTAGTGTTCTATGTATAGAGTGTAATAGAATTGTATTATGATGCTGTCCAATGTCGGCCATGTTGGGGGTGTAGTGTTCTATGTATAGAGTGTAAAAGAATTGTATTATGATGGTGTCCAGTGGTGGATCATGTTGGAGGTGTAGTGTTCTATGTATAGAATGTATTAGAATTTGTACTAAGATGATGTGTCCAGTGGTCGGCCATGTTGGGGGGTGTAGTGTTCTATGTATAGAGTGTAAAAGAATTGTATTATGATGGTGTCCAGTGGTGGATCATGTTGGAGGTGTAGTGTTCTATGTATAGAGTGTAATAGAATTGTACTATGATGGTGTCCAGTGGTCGGCCATGTTGGAGGTGTAGTGTTCTATGTATAGAGTGTAATAGATTGGTATTATGATGGTGTCCAGTGGTCGGCCATGTTGGAGGTGTAGTGTTCTATGTATAGAGTTTAATAGAATTGTACTATGATGGTGTCCAGTGGTCGGCCATGTTGGAGGTGTAGTGTTCTATGTATAGAGTGTAATTGAATTGTATTATGGTCATGTCCAGTGGTGGATCATATGAAGGATGTGATATCTTTGGGGGCATTAGGTGTTTTCATGTGTTATCTTCTACATTTCTCTTACCCTCATGTAGAATTCTCTCCCCTCATTTCCGGATTTGATCTGAAAGATGTAGTAGACTCCAGGGTAGCGGCTGGTGGCTTGCATCTGGAAGATATCTAAAGGAACCCGGCTGTTGGAGAAGATATCCATGTGTCTATGGACAATGGTGAATGGCTGGTCCCGGCAGGTGGGGTTCTCCACAGGACACATACAGCGACTAGGATCAAGAAAGTCAAGTTAAAGGAATCCTGTGATGCGGGCGGCATAGTGGTTTAGTGCACATGTGTACTTGAGAAGATCCAAGCTACAAGTGAAACAAGCCATTGAGCTACAATATCTTTGTCTGGTTTGCGGCAATCAGAGACGGCTAATTTCCACCTCTGGGAGGCAGCAACACTGTGCAATGGCTGGATACAAACTGGCTGATTACTCTGAAGAACTTCTGACCCTTGAGGCATACTGGCTGTGTCCAGGGTTATTCACAGCATCTATTTGCATATACCCGATTGGATGAGGTTTAGTACATGAGTCAAACGTTGGCAATGTACTAGATTCCCAAAGTCTATTCAATGTAGCTAACTGGAGTGTTCTATAATCTCCTGCAGCTCTTCACCGGGTCACCAGGAGTGTACTTCCTAGGCTCTTCGCTGTGTGTCTTACTCTCTTTCTGCCTTTTGTTATATTCACACGTCCCAGTCAGCAGAAGCGAGCTCTGGGCAAGTTCTCTGAAGGCTCTTTTTTGACCATTCCTTACATCTAGTTCTAGAAGAAAACCTAAATGACTCAAAAGAGGGACAGCTGACTTCCATCCATTTCTTCTCCATTACTACGTTTGCAGGGTTTAGGTATTAACAAAATAAAACAATGGGTGTACAAGCTCCTTCTTCAAATTCCTCTATTAAAAATAACAGATTATGCTGGTTTTTGAGTGGCTTAAGTTATAAAAAATTAGCAATAGAAACACAAGTGGAGGATCATTCTAAACAGGCATTATTTACTTACAAAATTGAATTAGCTGGATCTCCAATTTGGTGAAAAATATGACACACACAAGAAGAGGAATCACTCAGAGCAGCTAAATGACAATATGCAACTCTGTTGAAATTATTCTTTGGTGCAATAGGTCTTGAAGTCTTGATTACAAACCTTTGTTTTCCTTTGTCTAGCCCTTGGGGATCTATTCCTTCCACTGATACCAGCAATGGGGCAATATTTTGTGCACTGAAACTAACAATGGGGCACTCTTCCTCATACTGACACCAATGATGGGGTATTATTCTTCCCATTGACACCAATGATGGGGTATTATTCTTCCCATTGACACCAATGATGGGGTATTATTCTTCCCATTGACACCAATGATGGGGTATTATTCATCCCATTGACTCCAATGATGGGGCACTATTCCTCCCCCCTGACACCAATGATGGGGCACTATTCCTCCCACTGATACCAATGATGGGGCACTATTCCTCCCACTGACACCAATGATGAGGCACTACTACTCCTTCCACTGATACCAACGATTGGGCACTATTTCTCTCACTGACACTTACAATGGGGCACTATTCCTCTCACTGACACCAATGATGGGGCACTATTCTTCCCACTGACACCAATGATGGGGCACTATTCCTCCCACTGATACAATGATGGGGCACTATTCCTCCCACTGATACCAATGATGGGGCACTATTCCTCCCACTGATACCAATGATGGGGCACCATTCCTCCCACTGATACAATGATGGGGCACTATTCCTCCCACTGATACCAATGATGGGGCACTATTCCTCCCACTGATACCAATGATGGGGCACCATTCCTCCCACTGATACCAATGATGGGGCACCATTCCTCCCACTGATACCAATGATGGGGCACCATTCCTCCCACTGATACCAATGATGGGGCACTATTCCTTCCACTGACACCAATGATGGGGCACTATTCCTTCCACTGACACCAATGATGGGTCACTATTCCTCCCACTGACACCAATGATGGGGCACCATTCCTCCCACTGATACCAATGATGGGGCACTATTCCTCCCACTGATACCAATGATGGGGCACCATTCCTCCCACTGATACCAATGATGGGGCACTATTCCTTCCACTGACACCAATGATGGGTCACTATTCCTCTCACTGACACCAATGATGGGGCACTATTCTTCCCACTGACACCAATGATGGGGCACTATTCCTCCCACTGATACCAATGATGGGACACCATTCCTCCCACTGATACCAATGATGGGGCACTATTCCTCCCACTGATACCAATGATGGGGCACCATTCCACCCACTGACACCAATGATGGGACACTATTCCTCCCACTGATACCAATGATGGGGCACTATTCCTCCCACTGATACAATGATGGGGCACTATTCCTCCCACTGATACCAATGATGGGGCACCATTCCTCCCACTGATACAATGATGGGGCACTATTCCTCCCACTGATACCAATGATGGGGCACCATTCCTCCCACTGATACCAATGATGGGGCACTATTCCTCCCACTGATACCAATGATGGGGCACCATTCCACCCACTGATACCAATGATGGGGCACCATTACTCCCACTGATACTAATGAAGGGAAACTAATAATTCCCTTAATACCAAACATGGGACATTGTTTTCTTCCATTGATGCTAGGACATTTTCTACTCCTACTGGCCACGGTCCGTCCCCCCCAGTCCCACGTCTAAAGCACAGTAAACTGGCCCTTTGTTTTTAGAAAGTTTGGATATAAAACGTTATGGTTGTAGAGCAGAGGTCTCCATTCTCCATCGTCGCCTGTACTTACTTGTCATTGATCTGGATGTACGGCTCCTCACATCTCACGGGATCCAAACACTTGTAGGTTCCGGGGATGTTGAGGCACGTCTGCTGACTAGTGCAGGTATTATTCCGCGTGTCACATTCATCGACATCTGGAAAACCACAATTTACAAATTGCTTAAGCAAGAATGAATCTTTACACATGTTGGCATTGGCTAGCATCTATGCCTTATTACAAGCAAGGAAAGCCCATCAAGGTGTCTGCTCCTGCCCAGATCCAATGGGGCAACCTCAGGCCACATAAATGGTGGGACAGATGGGCGTATCCCTCTTTCTCCATTGGAATAGTTGAGCAGGGGTCCTGTCAGGGCTCCGGGTATGACCAGAGGTGTGTGGACTGACACAGGGAAACAGCAGGCTTCAGGTAAAGCGTGTACAACAATATAATTTATTAAGGGCAATACAAACATAAACGCAGTGCAACAAACCAAACCCAAAACTAACACAAATACGTACAAGGTGCAACAAACCCAAACCTTAACTGATATATATATATATATAAATATGGAGCACAACGTAGTCAGGCGGGCCGGGTCGGTAGCTAACGGGCAGACAAGGTACAAGGAGTAGGCAGAAGATTGGTCAGGAGTAGCCGAGGTCGGTGCAGGCAGAGTTCAAGCAGAGTCAGGATCAGGTAGGAAGCAGACAGGATGCAGGTACAAGGCTCATGGGAACAACACACCAAGGCCCTGACTGCAGGTCTGGTCATTCCTTAAATACACCTCCTGCAATCAGCCTCAGGTGATGGCTTGATTGCAGGAGTGAGCTTCTGGCTGCTGAGAGCACCCGCTGGCCAGCCCTGGTACTGAAGCCCACAAGGTAGGCGAGTCCCACCACCATTGGCAAGTCCATTCCTGACAGGTCCTATTAACCCAATGGAGAATGAAGAGTTGGGTGAGCTGATGAGGCTAGAGAGACTAATGGGATGGACTCCAAGGCTATTTCCAACTGTTCGACTTATCTTACCTATGTCGGCCTTCACCAGCCTCCTTGCCCATGAGCTGTTAGATGGAATAGCAGGAGGAATGGAACGATCTAACACATTATTTTGCAGTGACTCCGGTCACTCACCCTGACACGTCCGGCTGTCATCCAGCAGCACATAGCCGTTCGGACAGCTGCAGTAGTAGGATCCAGGCTCATTGACACATTGGTGCTGACACAGGAACTCCGAAACGCTGCATTCATCCATATCTGGAATAAATAGGAGGGAACTCGTATACAATCACAGCCAATGTTCAGATCTACGGGGCAGAAAGGTCACACTGTGAAGGCAGGAGACACTTGTAGGCACAAAGACCTTTTGCCGGCATTGAAAAAAAAAAAGAAAACCTTTGCTGCTACATCACATCCACTGCATTGCATAGGAACATTGTACAATGTATGGGAGGCACGCAGGAGATTGTATTAGCTGAACAGATTTACCAGTGCAGTTGATGCCGTCTTCATCCAGCTCGTAGCCCGGCTCACATCGACACAAATGGGAACCGTACGTGTTAACACAGTTTTGGACACATGGATTCTGTGTGGTACATTCATCAATGTCTGAAATAACAAAAATAAAGATGAAGAAACTAACGGATTAAAGGTCAATTGATAAATTAATATTGTTCCCATTAGCATCACTGAGAATGCAGCCTATCCATTCACTAGAGAGTGGTGACATCACAGAGAATGCAGCCTATCCACTCACTAGAGAGTGGTGACATCACAGAGAATGCAGCCTATCCACTCACTAGAGAGCGGTGACATCACTGAGAATGCAGCCTATCCATTCACTAGAGAGCGGTGACGTCACTGAGAATGCAGCCTATCCATTCACTAGAGAGCGGTGACATCACTGAGAATGCAGCCTATCCATTCACTAGAGAGCGGTGACATCACTGAGAATGCAGCCTATCCATTCACTAGAGAGCGGTGACATCACTGACAATGCAGCCTATCCATTCACTAGAGAATGGTGACATCACTGAGAATGCAGCCTATCCATTCACTAGAGAGTGGTGACATCACTGAGAATGCAGCCTATCCATTCACTAGAGAGCGGTGACATCACTGAGAATGCAGCCTATCCATTAACTAGAGAGTGGTGATGTCACTGAGAATGCAGACTATCCATTCACTAGAGAGCGGTGACATCACTGGGAATGCAGCCTATCCATTCACTAGAGAGTGGTGACATCACTGAGAATGCAGCCTATCCATTCACTAGAGAGCGGTGACGTCACTGAGAATGCAGCCTATCCATTCACTAGAGAGCGGTGACGTCACAGAGAATGCAGCCTATCCATTCACTAGAGAGCGGTGACGGTCACGTCACAGAGAATGCAGCCTATCCATTCACTAGAGAGCGGTGACATCACTGAGAACGCAGCCTATCCATTCACTAGAGAGCGGTGACGTCACAGAGAATGTAGCCTATCCATTCACTAGACAGAGGTGAGGTCATAGGTAATGCAGCCTATCCATTCACTAGAGAGCGGTGACATCACTGAGAATGCAGCCTATCCATTCACTAGAGAACGGTGACATCACTGAGAATGCAGCCTATCCATTCACTAGAGAGTGGTGGCGTCACTGAGAATGCAGCCTATCCATTCACTAGAGAGCGGTGACGTCACAGAGAATGCAGCCTATCCATTCACTAGAGAGCGGTGACATCACTGAGAACGCAGCCTATCCATTCACTAGAGAGCTGTGATGTCACAGGGAATACAGCCTATCCATTCACCAGAGAGCGGTGACGTCACTGATAACGCAGCCTATCCATTCACTAGAGAGCGGTGACGTCACTGAGAACGCAGCCTATCCATTCACTAGAGAGCGGTGACGTCACTGGGAATGCAGCCTATCCATTCACTAGAGAGCGGTGACCTCACTGAGAACGCAGCCTATCCATTCACTAGAGAGCGGTGACATCACTGAGAATGCAACCTATCTATTCACTAGAGAGCGGTGACATCACTGAGAATGCAGCCTATCCATTCACTAGAGAGCGGTGACCTCACTGAGAACGCAGCCTATCCATTCACTAGAGAGCGGTGACATCACTGAGAATGCAGCCTATCCATTCACTAGAGAGCGGTGACATCACTGAGAATGCAGCCTATCCATTCACTAGAGAGCGGTCCCATCTGGTTTGTATTAATACTTCACATACCTTGGCATGATCTTCCATCTGAGTTCAGCAAAAATCCCGGGTTACATGTGCAGGAATAAGAACCAGGCACGTTGGCACAGAGCTGCTGGCAGTACCCGTAGCGGCATTCATCAATGTCTAAAAATTAAAATACCGATTTATGAGGGTGAATCTCCCCAACGGGGACACAGACAGCAATGTTCAACTTTAACTCTCTCTATAAATCTCTGCCTATATAGCGGAAAGCTTCATGGGAGCCCTGAACAATGCGGTCATCACAGAGGACAAGGGGGCGCTCTTTACATCTGGAGGAAAAGAAATGTAATCTCCAAACACGGAAAGGTTTCTTCACAGTAAGAGCTGTGGGAATGTGGAATAGACTCCCTCAAGAGTTGGTTGTGGCCAGCTCAGTGGATTGCTGTAGGAAAGTCCTGGATTGTTTTTCTTGGATACACAGAATATAACTGGATATAACATTTATAGGGAAAGTTGATCCCGGGAATATCCGATTGCCTCTCGGGGGATCAGGAAGGAATGTTTCCCCTGCAGGAGGAGATTGGATCGTGCTTTGCTGGGTTTTTTTTGCCTTCCTCTGGATCAACTGTGGGTGTAGGATTATAACTTTTTTTTTTTTTATATGGTTGAACTGGATGGACTTTTGTCTTTTTTTAGCCAGACTAACTATGTAAAACTGCACACTGCAGAGGAAGTTTTTGTATGGCTTTCTTATCCTTGCCATTAGCAGCATTATAGTGCACAGTGACATACAGTATATTGTAGAGACATGCTGCTAGATTTAATTAGTGAGATGCTGCACGTCTGAGCGCTATTACTAGGGCAGCACAGCGGCTAAATGGTTAGCACTTCCGCCTGGCAGTACTCGGGTTGTTGGTTCAAATCCCAACCACAGCACCACCTGCCTGGAGTTTGCATGTTCTCCCTGTGCCTGCGTGGGTTTCCTCCAGGTACTCTGGTTTCCACACTCCAAAGACATATTGGTAGGTGAATTGGCTCCTGTATAAATTGTCCCTAGTATGTGTATGTATGAATGTGAGTTAGGGACCTGAGATTGTACGCCCCTTGAGGGTTAGGGACCTTAGATTGTACGCCCCTTGAGGGTTAGGGACCTTAGATTGTACGCCCCTTGAGGGTTAGGGACCTTAGATTGTACGCCCCTTGAGGGTCAGGGACCTTAGATTGTACGCCCCTTGAGGGTCAGGGACCTTAGATTGTACGCCCCTTGAGGGTTAGGGACCTTAGATTGTACGCCCCTTGAGGGTTAGGGACCTTAGATTGTACGCCCCTTGAGGGTTAGGGACATTAGATTGTACGCCCCTTGAGGGTCAGGGACCTTAGATTGTACGCCCCTTGAGGGTCAGGGACCTTAGATTGTACGCCCCTTGAGGGTTAGGGACCTTAGATTTGTACGCCCCCTGAGGGTCAGGGACCTTAGATTGTACGCCCCTTGAGGGTCAGGGACCTTAGATTGTACGCCCCTTGAGGGTTAGGGACCTTAGATTGTACGCCCCTTGAGGGTTAGGGACCTTAGATTGTACGCCCCTTGAGGGTTAGGGACCTTAGATTGTACGCTCCTTCAGCCCTGGTTCACACTGATGTGGTGAGGAATTCACAACGTGTTCTGTGCAAACTCCGCACCGCATCAGGATCGCACCCCATTCATGCAAATCGCTGCGGGTGTGTATGTTAAGTTAGCAACATCCCGAAAGCGGTCTGCAAAATGCAGTGCGATGTGCAGAATTAGATTGCATACGTGTGAATACACATGTGATCTGATTCTAGTGCGGACCAAAAAAGGTGCAGATTCGGTGCGTATAGAGCCATACAAAATGTACGACTCCGATCGCACCGCACACAAATCACATGTGATTCGCACAAGAATGCGGTGCGGTTCCTGTGCAAATCACATGCGATATATCGCACCACGTATATATATGAACCGGGGTTAGGGTCAGGGACGGATGTGAACGTCCAATATATATGTAAAGCGCTGCATAAATTGACGGCGCTATATAAATAAAATAAATATTACTGCCTTACAATCATTCTGAACGGCTTCCATCTGCTCTTGGCTGGCTGAGAATAGCTCCCTCTAGTGTGAAAACTGAAAAACAGTATCAATGTATCTTGTACCCATGTATCAATGTATATATATCTTGTATCAATGTATATATATCTTGTATCAATGTATATATATCTTGTATCAATGTATATATATCTTGTATCAATGTATCTTGTATTAAGGTATCTTGTATCTATGTATCTTGTATCTTGTATCAATGTATCTATGTATCTTGTATCAATGTATCTTGTATCAATGTATCTTGTATCAATGTATCTATGTATCTTGTATCAATGTATCTTGTATCAATGTATATATGTATCTTGTATATATGTATCTTGTATCAATGTATCTTGTATCAATGTATCTATGTATCTTGTATCAATGTATCTTGTATCAATGTATATATGTATCTTGTATCAATGTATCTTGTATCAATGTATCTTGTATCAATGTATCTTGTATCAATGTATCTATGTATCTTGTATCAATGTATCTTGTATCAATGTATCTTGTATCAATGTATCTTGTATCAATGTATCTATGTATCTTGTATCAATGTATCTTGTATCTATGTATCTTGTATCAATGTATCTTGTATCAATGTATCTTGTATCAATGTATCTTGTATCAATGTATCTATGTATCTTGTATCAATGTATCTAGTATAAATGTATCTATGTATCTTGTATCAATGTATCTTGTATCTATATATCTTGTATCTATATATCTTGTATCTATATATCTTGTATCTATATATCTTGTATCTATGTATCTTGTATCTATGTATCTTGTATCAATGTATCTATGTATCTTGTATCAATGTATCTAGTATCAATGTATCTATGTATCTTGTATCTATGTATCTTGTATCTATGTATCTTGTATCAATGTATCTATGTATCTTGTATCAATGTATCTATGTATCAATGTATCTTGTATCAATGTATCTATGTATCTTGTATCAATGTATCTTGTATCAATGTATCAATCAGTGCACATGGTCAGCTGCAGCAAGAATGGCGCTGGCTATTCAGGGAAGAAAGTCGGGGTGCCACCCAGCAGTTTTCATGAGCCAGTTGCAGATTTAACTTGCATCTTACATTTTCCCGGGAATGTTATGTTCCCATTCCACAGCCTCCATAATGCTGTTTTCTTTAATATAACTGGTGGGTGCCACTGCTACGGAATGAAACGGGCAGACTGGAACCCAGAAATGAGTTTTTGTCCAATCAGAAGTGTCCGGCGGTCATCAGGAAACGAACGAACGCCGGTGGTGCAGATGGACCTGAAGTAAGTCTACCTGCTTAGGTAACGTAGTGCACGCCACTCCCGACAGCTCCCTGCGTCTATACAGCAACGCAGGGAGCTTAGCGATTTCCCTGGATTGTGCCAAAAGCGGTCTCCTCCCTCTATCCTCCCTTCACTGTCTTTGGAACATCTAAAGCTGACCCTCTGTGTGAAAGAGGCCAAAATGCAGGAAACGTACGCAGCGTAGATAAATGATGGCGATGTTCCTACAACGGACGTTTTATACATAAATCCCTCAGTATTTGATTTTTGTGCTTTTTGAAAAAATATTTGCATGCAAACTTGTTTTTTTTCCGTGTTTGTAGCATCAAATTTTGTAAAAAAATTCTTTGTCCCCAGAAACAGGATTCTCACGCTTTTATAAAAGGGACACGTTGGCAGAATAAAATATGTCGTTACAATTTTTTTTATTTACCTATTTTATTCCCTTTCCCTAATGCTGGCCATAGACGGGTTGAAAATCGTCCGAAAAAAAAAATCGGCTGATTTGCGCACTGTTAGTGGGTTAATTGGTCGGCTGTTATTTGGAGATTTTGCACGTTTCTTATCGGGCATGTTGGAAAATTTGCGGCCGATTTTCCTGGCAATGATGGCAGAAGAAGAAAAAGAAGAAGGAGGAAGAGGAAGAAGAAGAAAGGAGAAAAAGAGGAAGAAAAAAAGAAAAAAGGGAAGAAGGAAGAAAGAAGAAGGAAGACAAAAAAGAAGAAGAAGAAAAAGAAGAAGAGGAAGTAGAAGGAAAAAGAAGAAAAAGAAGAAGAAGAAGAAGGAAAAAGAAGAAAAAGAAAGAAGGAGAAGAAGGAAGAAGACGACGAAAAAGAAGAAGAAAGAAAAAGAAGAAGAAGAAAAAGAAGTAGGAAGCAGGAAGAAAAAGAAGAAGGAAAAGAAAAAAGAAGAGGAAAAAGAAAAAAGGGAAGAAGGAAGAAAGAAGAAGAAAAAAAAAGAAGAAGGAGAAAGAAAAAAGAAAGTAGAAAAAAGAAGGAAGAAAAAGAAGTAGAAGAAGGAGGAAGAAGAAAGAAAAAGAAGAAAAAGAGAAGGAAGAAAAAGAAGAGAGAAAAAAAACAAGAAGAAGAAAAGAAAAAGAAGAGGAAAAAGAAGAAGAAAGAAAAAGAAGAGGAAAAAGAAGAAGAAGAAGAAGAGAAAGAAGAGGAAGTAAAAGACGAAGAAAAAGGGAAAAAGAAGAGGAAAAAGAAGAGGAAAAAGAAGAAGAAAAAGAAAAAGAAGGAAGAAAAAGAAAAAAAGAAGGAAGAAAAAGAAGATGAAGAAGAAAAAGAAGGAGAAAAAAGGAAGATGGAAGAAAGAAGAAGGAAGAAAAAAGGAGAAAAAGAAGAAGATAAAAAAGAAGTAAAAGAAAAAGATGAAGGAGAAAAAGATAAAGAAGGAGAAAAAAGGAGATGGATGGAAGAAAGAAAAAGGAAGAAGAAGAAGGAAGAAGAAGGAAGAAAAAGAAGAAGATAAAAAAGAAGCAAAAGAAAAAGATGAAGAAGAAGAAGAAAAAGAAGGAAGAAGAAGAATCGATGATAGAGGAATGGGAGACACCAGAATCCTTCCTACGAACTGGAAGTCCAGTCCGCTATTATATTTTATATGAAAAGTCTTGCGGTTGCAACAAATGTATCCAAATAAAAACAATGTATTTGTGTTGCTGTCACATTGTATGGTGCGCTCCCGTCTCTGCAAAAAGCGGCCAATTTGTTTAACGTTGGTGGTAACGTCGGCCAATCGAACGACCAATTTTTCTTCTTTTTTTTTTTTTTTTTAATCGCCCGATGTTCGACCCGTCTATGGCCTGCTTTACTTTTGTCTTTTTTTTTTTTCTTTAACTTTTTTAAAATCGGTGTTAATTTTTGTAGCATCAAAACAAGGAGCTGGAGAGGAGGGGCATGGGGGAACTTTGGCATTCTTGGGTGCCTGAGGACCTTTCCCAGCACAGCTCTCCAGCCGACGGAAGCTTTCATCTCATCCATGCGAAAAAAAAGAAAAAAGGAATAGAAAGGGATAAAAGGCTCACCTAGGCACTGTCCTTCCAGGAGCCAGTACCCCTCCGTACAGGAGCATGTGTACCCGCCCTCTGTGTTGATACACACCTGGGTGGGGTTACAGTGATGGGATTCGCTCGCACACTCATCGATGTCTGCAAAGGAAGAGAATGAAGACTGTTAGACAACCCAGATCATCCAATCAGAAGCCAGGGACTGGGAGAGCGGACGGTGGGCACATATTAGATCGGTATGGAGAACTTCATCTCAAACTGTATATGTGATCAAAACAAGAATCGCCCAGAGGAGTCGGTTGCTGATCTGCTCATATATAACATGCACTGTTACCACATATACAGATTACTGGTCCAGTGCTGCTTCCTCCTCCATTATCTGACAAGACACACACTATCATCATGTATACGGATTACTGATCCAGCACACTGCTTCCTCCTCCATTATCTGACATCACACACTGTCATCATGTATACAGATTACTGATCCAGCACTGCTTCCTCCTCCATATCTGACATCACACACTATCATCATGTATACGGATTACTGATCCAGCACTGCTTCCTCCTCCATATCTGACATCACACACTATCATCATGTATACGGATTACTGATCCAGCACTGCTTCCTCCTCCATATCTGACATCACACACTATCATCATGTATACGGATTACTGATCCAGCACTGCTTCCTCCTCCATTATCTGACAAGACACACACACTATCATCATGTATACGGATTACTGATCCAGCACTGCTTCCTCCTCCATTATCTGACATCACACACTGTCATCATGTATACGGATTACTGATCCAGCACTGCTTCCTCCTCCATTATCTGACAAGACACACACTATCATCATGTATACGGATTACTGATCCAGCACTGCTTCCTCCTCCATATCTGACAAGACACACTATCATCATGTATACGGATTACTGATCCAGCACTGCTTCCTCCTCCATTATCTGACATCACACACTGTCATCATGTATACGGATTACTGATCCAGCACTGCTTCCTCCTCCATATCTGACATCACACACTATCATCATGTATACGGATTACTGATCCAGCACTGCTTCCTCCTCCATTATCTGACAAGACACACACTATCATCATGTATACGGATTACTGATCCAGCACTGCTTCCTCCTCCATTATCTGACATCACACACTGTCATCATGTATACGGATTACTGATCCAGCACTGCTTCCTCCTCCATTATCTGACATCACACACACTGTCATCATGTATATGGATTACTGATCCAGCACTGCTTCCTCCTCCATATCTGACATCACACACTATCATCATGTATACGGATTACTGATCCAGCACTGCTTCCTCCTCCATTATCTGACATCACACACTATCATCATGTATACGGATTACTGATCCAGCACTGCTTCCTCCTCCATTATCTGACATCACACACTATCATCATGTATACGGATTACTGATCCAGCACTGCTTCCTCCTCCATTATCTGACAAGACACACACTATCATCATGTATACAGATTACTGATCCAGCACTGCTTCCTCCTCCATATCTGACATCACACACTGTCATCATGTATATACGGATTACTGATCCAGCACTGCTTCCTCCTCCATTATCTGACATCACACACTGTCATCATGTATATGGATTACTGATCCAGCACTGCTTCCTCCTCCATATCTGACATCACACACTATCATCATGTATACGGATTACTGATCCAGCACTGCTTCCTCCTCCATTATCTGACATCACACACTATCATCATGTATACGGATTACTGATCCAGCACTGCTTCCTCCTCCATTATCTGACAAGACACACACTATCATCATGTATACGGATTACTGATCCAGCACTGCTTCCTCCTCCATATCTGACATCACACACTATCATCATGTATACGGATTACTGATCCAGCACTGCTTCCTCCTCCATTATCTGACATCACACACTGTCATCTTGTATACGGATTACTGATCCAGCACTGCTTCCTCCTCCATATCTGACATCACACACTGTCATCATGTATACGGATTACTGATCCAGCACTGCTTCCTCCTCCATATCTGACATCACACACTGTCATCATGTATACGGATTACTGATCCAGCACTGCTTCCTCCTCCATTATCTGACATCACACACTGTCACCTTATACAGATTACTGATCCAGCACTGCTTCCTCCTCCATTATCTGACAAGACACACACTATCATCATGTATACGGATTACTGATCCAGCACTGCTTCCTCCTCGCTCTGCCTCCCTCCATTATCTGACATCACACACTGTCATCATGTATACGGATTACTGATCCAGCACTGCTTCCTCCTCCATATCTGACATCACACACTGTCATCATGTATACGGATTACTGATCCAGCACTGCTTCCTCCTCCATATCTGACATCACACACTGTCATCATGTATATACGGATTACTGATACAGCACTGCTTCCTCCTCCATATCTGACATCACACACTATCATCATCATGTATACGGATTACTGATCCAGCACTGCTTCCTCCTCCATATCTGACAAGACACATAAAATCACACCTTATATACAGATTACTGATCCAGCACTGCTTCCTCCTCCATTATCTGACATCACACACTGTCACCTTAATACAGATTACTGTCCAGCACTGCTTCCTCCTCCATTATCTGACATCACACACTGTCACCTTATACAGATTACTGATCCAGCACTGCTTCCTCCTGCCATTATCTGACATCTGACATCACACACTGTCACCTTATACAGATTACTGATCCAGCACTGCTTCCTCCTCCATTATCTGACATCACACACTGTCACCTTATACAGATTACTGATCCAGCACTGCTTCCTCCTCCATATCTGACAATCACACACTAAAATCACCTTATATACAGATTACTGATCCAGCACTGCTTCCTCCTCCTCCATTATCTGACAAGACACACACTATCACCTTTTACAGATTACTGATTCAGCACTGCTTCCTCCTCCATATCTGACAAGACACACATACTATCACCTTATTTACAGATTACTGATCCAGCACTGCTTCCTCCTCCATTATCTGACAAGACACACATTATCACCTTATATACAGATTACTGATCCAGCACTGCTTCCTCCTCCATTATCTGACAATGGAACACATTGTCACCATATATACTGATTACTGATCCACTTGCACTGGGACACTTCCTCCTCCCCTATCTGAGATAAACACACACTATCACATTATATACTGATTACTGATCCATCACTGCTTCCTCCTCCCCAATCAGATAAGATACACACTATCACCATATATACTGATTACTGATCCATCACTGCTTCCTCCTCCCCTATCAGATAAAAGATACACTATCGCCATATATACTGATTACTGATCCAGCACTGTTTCCTCCTCCACTATCTGACAAGGAACACATTGTCACCTTATATACAGATTACTGATCCATCACTGCTTCCTCCTCCACCATCTGACAAGGAACACATTGTCACCTTACATACAGATTACTGATCCATCACTGCTTCCTCCTCCACTATCTGACAAGGAACACATTGTCACTTTATATATACAGATTACTGATCCATCACTGCTTCCTCCTCCATTATCTGACATCACACACTGTCACCTTATATACAGATTACTGATCCATACCAGATCCTCCTGCTTCCCTCCACCACTGTCACCTTATATACAGATTACTGATCCATCACTGCTTCTCCACTATCTGACATGGAACAGATTGTCACCTTACATACAGATTACTGATCCATCACTGCTTCCTCCTCCCCTATCAGACAAGATACACACTTGCACGTCTCATCAGTGCCATAGTCAGGTTACTAACGATCAATATTAACCAATTACTGACGAGTCCGATACAGAATTCTGTTCATGTCCTCGCCATGGCCGCCTTGATGCTCAGTGCTTTTCCTCAGACATTAATTCAGGAATAAACAAGTCATTACCCCACACTGGAGATGATCTCTACGACTACGAAGTGCCTGCATTCCTCTACTCCCAGCCAATACATGTCGCAAGAGCCAGATGCACTTCTCAGGCAGTCATTGTAAATCAGATCCGAACATTTTGGCTCACTAGTCCCAACACATTCCGAAGATATCCTGGCGCAGCGCCCTGTTCATATCCCTTGCGCCCTGTTCAGTATCCTGACCGCCGTCCTGCAAAGAGCCATGTGATGATTGTTTCCCAAGGAGTGGATAGCTGCATTGTGAACCCACCTGTCTTTGTATATGGGGATTTAGGCATCTAGGGGATCACCACCAATAATGGCAGCAGGAGGAGTCCAAACTGCATTTAAAGTGGTTGCAAACCCTTCCATATACCCAGTGAAGCGACTGGCCTCAGGTGATGCACAGAGATGAAGCAAATCCTCTTGCATAAGTTGTACCTTTTTATCTACAATATTCTCTTCTTTACATCGCTCCAAAATCTAGAATTTATAAAGCTTATCAGAGATTTCAGAAAAAAAGGGGGGGGGGAGCTGAAATTACACACTGTAGAGCTCAGTGAGATCTGATTTGAGGAAGGAACACAACCCGTTCACACAGCAGGCAGGAACAGTGCTGAGACTGTCAATCACAGGCTGTGTGCTGAAGATCTCTCCCATCTTCTTTTTTTTTCTCTTGGAGTCAGGACACTTTTCAGAAGTGACTCATGCTGATAGCAGAGGAACAGGAGCAGCAGACAGAAATGACGCTCAGTGCTCTGGATAGAGACAAGTACTATAGAGGGATATGTTTTGTTCTTATTTCATGTCTGGATTCTTTCTTGGATACACAGAATATAACTGGATATAACATTTATAGGGAAAGTTGATCCCGGGAATATCCGATTGCCTCTCGGGGGATCAGGAAGGAAATTTTTTTTCCCCTGCAGGAGCAAATTGGATCGTGCTTTGCTGGGTTTTTTCTTTTGCCTTCCTCTGGATCAGCTGTGGGTGTAGGATTATAACTTTTTTTTTTTTCTATGGTTGAACTGGATGGACTTTTGTCTTTTTTCAGCCAGACTAACTATGTAAGGTTTACAACCACTTTAAGGGAATCCCCCAGAATGTAAATGTGCTTGGTTGTTTGTTGCTGACCAAACCAGTCCAACTTCACTGACTTTATCCCAGATCTCTGCGATCCCGTGCAGTCGCATCTCACACATTACCCCCCGGCGGTATTCCTGAGTGTAGCTCAGGGTAAAGTTTCAGCACCACAAGCAGTAACCCCCCCCCCCCCCCCGAGCTACACTTGGGAATACTCTGCAGCGTTGCTCCGGGATCCCTCCTGCACTTACCTTGCCTGCGCTCCCGCGATGTCCCTCCTGCAGCGTCCCCGGCATCTGTCTTCCAGGTTCCAGTCCCTGCGAGCGTCGGGACCTACGGGGGACGGAACTGGCGGGAAATTTAAAAATGTGAAAAAGTGACATTCACTCAATACACTAAAATCACATAGTATAACATTCCTGTATCAAACCATTTCACATACATGTTGTCCCGAGTGCTTTGGCCGGCACCCTGCCTGCATTTTTACTGTTCTTTCTGCCTGAAAACTGAGAAACGTCCATGGCGTCCAAAAAGCGTCCCTTTAGGTCAGACGCGGTTTTAGACCGGCTAGAGAACAGCGATAGTAAATCAGAACCACTTGCAGAATTGAGTGATAATGATTGGTGGGGGAAATTCCTCATCAGACACTGAAAACGATTCTGCGACTTTGCTCAGCGATGTGCGAACTTGGCGCTCTATTTCACATTTCAGTGTTTTTGGTTTGATTATATTATTGAATTACATTTATTATATTATTATTTTTTATGATTATTTATTAAATTATAATTTATGATTTCGTGTTTCAAATTTTATCCTCCCCGGGATGTTTACTAGACTCTTGTTCGGACAGATTTCAGTGAGTTATTCCTAAAAATTACAGCTTACAATAAAAAAAATACATATTTCCATGCAAAAAAATGTACCGCTTTGAGCACAGAAATATGGACATAATCAGACCTCTAGGGAGGCTACCCGTGGCAGATTCTGTGCATGTCTGACAGGGACACTAATATCCTTTACCGAATCCCATGGTAATGATCAGTATCTCACCAATACATTGGCTGTTTTCATCCATCTGGTAGCCGAAGCGACATATGAGGGGTCGGCCTGGTGACGGGAAGTTGGGAGCAGAAAGCGGAGGAGTCAGCGGTGAGACGGCGGGGAGGTAAGGGGTGCGGTACGGTGCTCTGTATGTGCTGGACCGGGGGATGCAGAGATAGCCGCCATTCTGATTGACACAGACCATGTCTCCACGGCAAGCATCAGAGATGGTCCGACATTCATCTATGTCTGTAAATCGGGAAAAAAATACAGGTTTATGGAACAAGAGGAGTGGTACTGTGCATACATAAATACAGATAAGAACAGATACTGAGAATTACACCCGGCATACAGGAACCAGAGAAGTGGGACTGTGCAGAGTCCATACATACAGAATAAGGGCAGATACCGAGAATAACACCCGGCATCCAGGACCAGAGAAGTGGGACTGTGCATACATACCTACAGAATAAGCGCAGATATTGAGAATTACACCCGGCATCCAGGACAGGAGAAGTGGGACTGTGCAGAGTCCATACATACAGAATAAGGGCAGATACCAAGAATTACACCCAGCATCCAGGGCAGGAGAAGTGGGACTGTGCAGAGTCCATACATACACTCACCAGCCACTTTGTCAGGTCCACCTTGCCAGTACCGGGTTGGACCCCCTTTTGCCTTCAGAACTGCCTTCATTCTTCATGGCATAGATTCTACAAGGTGTTGGAAACATTCCTCAGAGATTTTGCTCCATACTGACATGATAGTATCACGCAGTGGCTGCAGATTTGTTGGCTGCACATCCATGATGGGAATCTCCCGTTCCACCACATCCCAAAGGGGCTCTATTGGATGGAGATCTGGTGACTGTGGAGGCCATTGCAGTGCAGTGACCTCCTTGTCATGTTCAGGAAACCAGTTTGAGATGATTTGAGCTTTGTGACATGGTGCATTATCCTGCTGGAAGGAGCCATCAGAAGATGGGGACACTGGAGTCATGAAGGGATGGACATGGTCAGCAACAATACTCAGGTAGCCGTGGTGTTTAAACAATGCCCAATTGGTACTAAGGAGTCCAAAGTGTGCCAAGAAAATCTCCCCCACACCATGACACCACCAGCCTGAACCGCTGATACAAGGCAGGATGGGTCCACCACACCATGACACCACCACCACCAGCCTGAAGCATTGATACAAGGCAGGATGGATCCACCACACCATGACACCATCACCACCAGCCTGAACCGTTGATACAAGGCAGGATGGATCCCCCACACCATGACACCACCACCTCCAGCCTGAACCATTGATACAAGGCAGGATGGATCCCCCACACCATGACACCACCACCACCAGCCTGAACCATTGATACAAGGCAGGATGGATCCCCCACATCATGACACCACCACCCCCAGTCTGAACCATTGATACAAGGCAGGATGGATCCCCCACACAATGACACCACCACCACCAGCCTAAACCATTGATACAAGGCAGGATGGATCCCCCACATCATGACACCACCACCACCAGCCTGAACCATTGATACAAGGCAGGATGGATCCCCCACACCATGGCACCACCACCACCAGCCTGAACCATTGATACAAGGCAGGATGGATCCCCCACACCATGACACCACCACCACCAGCCTGAACCATTGATACATGGCAGGATGGATCCACCACACCATGACACCACCACCACCAGCCTAAACCATTGATACAAGGCAGGATGGATCCCCCACATCATGACACCACCACCACCAGTCTGAACCATTGATACAAGGCAGGATGGATCCCCCACACCATGACATCACCACCACCAGCCTGAACCATTGATACATGGCAGGATGGATCCACCACGCCATGACACCACCACCACCAGCCTAAACCATTGATACAAGGCAGGATGGATCCCCCACATCATGACACCACCACCACCAGCCTGAACCATTGATACAAGGCAGGATGGATCCCCCACACCATGGCACCACCACCACCAGCCTGAACCATTGATACAAGGCAGGATGGATCCCCACACACCATGACACCACCACCAGTCTGAACCGTTGATACAAGGCAGGATGGATCCCCCACACCATGACACCACCACCAGTCTGAATTGTTGATACAAGGCAGGATGGATCCATGCTTTCATGTCATTTATGCCAAATTCTGAACCCACCATCTGAATGTCGCAGCTAAAATCCAGACTCATCAGACCAGGCAACGTTTTTCCAATCTTCTATTGTCCAATTTTGGTGAGCCTGTGCGCATTATAGCCTCCGTTTCCTGTTCTTGGCTGACAGGAGTGGCACCCGGTGTGGTCTTCTGCTGCTGTAGCCCATCTGCTTCAAGGCTGGACGTGTTGTGCATTCAGAGACCAACAAGGCATTTTCTTCCACACAACTGCCTCTTACTGGATATTTTCTCTTTTTGGACCATTCGCTGTAAACCCTAGAGATGGTTGTGCGTGAAAATCCCAGCAGATCAGCAGGTTTTGAAATACTCAGACCAACCCGTTTGGTACCAACAACCATGCCACGTTCAAAATCACCCAAATCCCCTTTCTTCCCCATTCTGATACTCGGTTTGAAGTTCAGCAAGTCGCCTTCACCTCATTTAGATGCCTAAGTGCAATGAGTTGCTGCCATGTGATTGGCTGATTAGCAATTTGTGTTACCAAGCAATTGAACGGTTGGACCTAATAAAGTGGCCGGTAAATATATGATGAACAGGCATGGCTACACCTGGATCAACATTCTGATGGTCCCTCTTGAACCAGATGGATTCCAGTCCATCTATTGCCAGTATAAGGGCCCGTCTGATTTGATACTATTTAAAATGATTGCTGTGGTTTGTCTTTATGGAAAGCTAACAGAGATTGTATAGAGATTGTACAATCAAATTGTGCTGTGAAGAGGACTTTGATGGGGAATCTGATGTTAGGTAGGACTCTGCTGTAAGAATGGACTCTGTAGATCCTCATATAAGGGGGTTTCCTGAACGGTACTCTGATGGAAGTGGGGGGGAGGGGCAGGCAGTGACAGGGACTGAGGTAAGGGTGGGGGGGGGGGGGGGGACTCTGATGAAGACCCTGATGTAAGGGTGGACTCTCTGTTGTTTTGAATCATTTCATGCTGATTAAAAAAAGTAAAAGGTACTCATTCTTTTATAAATCGGATGGTTTCAGCCCACAAACACTGAAAGTAGTGAAACGTTTGGAGCGCCCTGGTATAGTGTATGGCCAGCTATAGAGGAGGCCTCCCCTCCTCCTGGGTGACCTCCTATGGCAAGGTGCCAACATCTTCAGATCCGGGGACAGACCTATCTCATCAAACCCCATGAAGTAGTCACAGTGGCTAAATGGTTAGCACTTCAGCCTGGCAGCACTAGGGTTGTTGGTTCAAATCCCAACCATGACACCACCTGCCTGGAGTTTGCATGTTCTCCCTGTGCCTGTGTGGGTTTCCTCTGGGTACTTCGGTTTGCTCCCACACTTCAAAGACATGCTGGAAGGTTAATTGGCTCCTGTCTAAATTGTCCCTAGTATGTGTATGTATGAATGTGAGTAGGGACCTTAGATTGTACGCCCCTTGAGGGTTAGGGACCTTAGATTGTACGTCCCTTGAGGGTTAGGGACCTTAGATTGTACGCCCCTTGAGGGTTAGGGACCTTAGATTGTACGTCCCTTGAGGGTTAGGGACCTTAGATTGTACGCCCCTTGAGGGTTAGGGACCTTAGATTGTACGCCCCTTGAGGGTTAGGGACCTTAGATTGTACGCCCCTTGAGGGTCAGGGACCTTAGATTGTACACCCCTTGAGGGTTAGGGACCTTAGATTGTACGCCCCTTGAGGGTTAGGGACCTTAGATTGTACGCCCCTTGAGGGTTAGGGACCTTAGACTGTACGCCCCTTGAGGGTTAGGGACCTTAGACTGTACGCCCCTTGAGGGTTAGGGACCTTAGACTGTACGCCCCTTGAGGGTTAGGGACCTTAGACTGTACGCCCCTTGAGGGTTAGGGACCTTAGATTGTACGCCCCTTGAGGGTTAAGGACCTTAGACTGTACGCCCCTTGAGGGTTAGGGACCTTAGATTGTACGCCCCTTGAGGGTTAGGGACCTTAGACTGTACGCCCCTTGAGGGTTAGGGACCTTAGATTGTACGCCCCTTGAGGGTTAGGGACCTTAGACTGTACGCCCCTTGAGGGTTAGGGACCTTAGACTGTACGCCCCTTGAGGGTTAGGGACCTTAGACTGTACGCCCCTTGAGGGTTAGGGACCTTCGATTGTACACTCCTTGAGGGTTAGGGACTGATGTGAATGTACAATATATATGTAAAGCGCTGTGTAAACTGACAGCGCTATATAAGTACCTGTAGTAAATAAAATGGGCACTGATGAGGTAGCACTGATGGGCACTGAAAGAGCTGCACTGATGAGGAGGCACTGAAAGGTAGCACTGATGAGGACCAAAAAGGGCTGCACTGATAGCCAGCACTGATCATCAGGGCATTGATGATCAGTGCCTCGATTCAATGTAAATGCCCCCTGTGTGAATCGCTGGTTACTGGCTCTCTTCATGCTGTGACAGGTCTGTTTACAATGTGATCAGTTGTGATTGGACACAGCTGATCACATGGTAAAGGACCGCTGTGATTGGCTTATACCGCTATCTGTGATCACATGGTGTCCGAAGTGCACGCCCCAGGGGGCATGTAGAGGGTGTGCTTCTGGGAGGGCATCTATAGACAACCTCCCAGCACTGGATGACTGCGCTGTAGCTGTCTTTTGACTATAACGTGGTCAGGAATAGGTGAAGGATCTGGATGTGATTGGGTAAGGAGGAAACACGCCACCAGGGGCGGACTGACCATTTGGAAACTCGGGCAGTAGGGGGCCCCATGAGATGCCCCTGGTACCTTTTTCATAGGCTTTTTTGAGTTTGGGCATAGACACAGGGGCCCCATGATCCCCTATTGCCCAGGGGCCCCATTAGTTGTCAGTCCGCCCCCGCACGCCACGCTGACTTTTTGTGAAGGATACATTTTAACGACAGGTCCACTTTAATATCTGAGCCGTTCATAAATCTAACAACAACAACATCTTTATACATTTCCAGAACTTTAACTCTTACCTAAACACTCCCCAGTCACCCGGTCTATCTGGAAGCCATTTGAGCATTGTTCCTATAAAGAGATAATAGAAGAGATTTATGAGCTGAGCCGAGCCTAACTGAGCCGAGCCTAACTGAGCCGAGCCGAGCCTAACTGAGCCGAGCCGAGCAGAGCCGAGCCGAGCCTAACTGAGCCGAGCCGAGCAGAGCAGAGCCGAGCCTAACTGAGCCGAGCCGAGCAGAGCAGAGCCGAGCCTAACTGAGCCGAGCAGAGCCGAGCCGAGCCGAGCCGAGCAGAGCCGAGCAGAGCCGAGCAGAGCCGAGCCGAGCAGAGCCGAGCCGAGCCGAGCCATGCACCGAATACAAGAAGGGAAAAGACTCTGTGTTTATTTTCATGTTTGGTAACATTCTTATGTGCTGAAATAATTCCTCTGACAAATATCCGTGTACTTGTCAAACCGTCCGACACCCTCCTTATCTGAAGGAAATCTACAATCGTTTATGAAGTTTCTCCCTCGATAAAAACGTGACTGTGATCAGTTTAGTGGGGAACATCACATAGAGGGCGGCCGCCGCGGACCTCCCCCGGAAAACCTGCTGGAAGGCGTCTGGAGCTGTGTGCGCAGCTTGCAGGCTCACCCATCAACATCTGGTTACTGCAGCTCGACGACCGACACTCACAAATTCAACTTTTCAAGGCAATAAAGTCCATTTGATAGTTTTTCATATATATTCTCAACTTCATTGATGTAGAGGGTGTCAGGTGTACCCACTGACAGCACACCAAGGGGCCGTACATAATGATCAGTGTATGTAAAGCAACAGAAAAGAGTCAGAGACTGGATCTATCACTTCCCGTGGTCAGAGACTGGATCTATCACTTCCCATGGTCAGAGACTGGATCTATCACTTCCCGTGGTCAGAGACTGGATTTTATCACTTCCCGTGGTCAGAGACTGGATCTATCACTTCCAGTGGTCAGAGACTGGATCTATCACTTCCAGTGATCAGAGACTGCAGGCATGCTACAAGAGACAGTTCAAGGGCAAGTTCACCTTTTCATGAAAAATGAGCCGGTGAACTCCAAATATCCATCCCAAATTGAGCTCATAATATTTCCTCCCCCACGTGCCTCTTCCCCCGATTTCTCAGTCAAGATCAATAGCACCACTATCAACCCATCCCTGCATGCCGGGGTGCTAGGGGTAACCCTGGATTCTGAACTGTTCTTTCAGGTCCACATCCAATCCCTGTCCAAATCATGCTGCCTCAACCTCCGCAACATCTCCAGAATACGCCCCTTTTTAACCAATGATACCACAAAGCTTCTAATACACTCCCTGGTTATCTCTCACCTTGATTACTGCAACTCCCTCCTCATTGGCTTACCTTTACATAGGCTATCCTGCCTCCAGTCCATCATGAATACTGCTGCCAGACTCATCCACCTTACCAACCGTTCAGTGTCTGCTACCCCTCTCTGCCAATCCCTCCACTGGCCTCCATTCAGTGCCCTCCACCCCTCTCTGCCAATCCCTCCACTGGCCTCCATTCAGTGTCCTCCACCCCTCTCTGCCAACCCCACCACTGACCTCCATTCAGTGTCCTCCACCCCTCTATGCCAATCCCTCCACTGGCCTCCATTCAGTGTCCTACACCCCTCTCTACCAACCCCTCCACTGACCTCCATTCAGTGTCCTCCACCTCTCTCTGCCAATCCCTCCACCAACCTCCATTCAGTGTCCTCCACCCCTCTCTGCCAATCCCTCCACTGGCCTCCATTCAGTGTCCTCCACCCCTCTCTGCCAACCCCTCCACTGACCTCCATTCAGTGTCCTCCACCCCTCTATGCCAATCCCTCCACTGGCCTCCATTCAGTGTCCTCCACCCCTCTCTGCCAACCCCTCCACTGACCTCCATTCAGTGTCCTCCACCCCTCTCTGCCAATCCCTCCACCAACCTCCATTCAGTGTCCTACACCCCTCTCTGCCAATCCCTCCAATGGCTTCCATTCAGTGTCCTCCACCCCTCTCTGTCAATACCTCCACTGGCCTCCATTTAGTGTCCTTAACCCCTCTCAGCCAATCCCTCTGCTGGCTTCCATTCAGTGTCCTCGACCCCTCTCAGCCAATCCCTCTGCTGGCCTCCATTTAGTGTCCTCGACCCCTCTCTGCTAATCCCTCTGCTGGCCTCCATTCAGTGTCCTCAACCCCTCTCTGCCAATCCCTCCACTGGCCTCCACTCAGTGTCCTCCACCCCTCTCTGCCAATCCCTCCACTAGCCTCCATTCAGTGTCCTCCACCCCTCTCTGCCAATCCATCCACTGGCTTCCATTCAGTGTCCTCCACCCCTCTCTGCCAATCCCTCCACTGGCCTCCATTCAGTGTCCTCCACCCCTCTCTGCCAATCCCTCCAGTGGCTCCCACTCGCCCCAACGAATAAAGCTCAGAATACTAACAACAACTTACAAAGCCATCCACAACTCTGCCTCCAGCTATATCACCAACCGGGTCTCAAAATATCAACCAAACCGCTCTCTTTGATCCTCCCAAGACCTTCCACTCTATAGTGGCACCATGTACACAGCTCCACTATCACATCACTCTTAGGCCCCATGTACAGGGGACACTTCTGAACAATGGAAAGTAACTGTGAATGGTCATTAACATATCTTTTGTTTCCAAGGATGGGAGAGGTCTGAGGTGTGAATGGTCATTAACATATCTTTTGTTTCCAAGGGTGGGAGAGGTCTGAGGTGTGAATGGTCATTAACATATCTTTTGTTTCCAAGGGTGGGAGAGGTCTGAGGTGTGAATGGTCATTAACATATCTTTTGTTTCCAAGGGTGGGAGAGGTCTGAGGTGTGAATGGTCATTAACATATCTTTTGTTTCCAAGGGTGGGAGAGGTCTGAGGTGTGAATTGGTCATTACAATGTGTGACAAGCTTGGTAGGAACATCCTGTGTTCAGTGTTTTGTCCATCTGAGTATCTTAAAAACGCTTTGCATGCATTTTTCATGATGAAAAAAGGCTCTGGACAGCATCGGGAACTGGTCTAACATTCGGGGCGCCAAAATGTTTGTCGGCTGGTGTAATAATTTGTACCGGCGGGTTTGTTATTTCAAGCATAGGGCAGAAGGGTTCATGTATGCATTATGATAGATACTCATGCCCAGTTTCACGCAGAATTTCACATTTGCTTTTACTTGCTGTCCAAGATGAAATAGCAGACGTGGTAACGCACGTGGTCAGAATAGCACCAGGGTGAGGGGGTGATAAAACTACACAGCTCCACTATCACACCACTCTTAGGCCCCATGTATACGGGACACTTCTGAACAATGGAAAGTGACTGCTGGAAAACGTAGGTAAAAAAAAGTCTGTTTAGCCGCGTTTGCATAGCGAGTTTATGCGCATTTATGTGCGTTTGCGTTTAGACGCGGTTTTTAAAGACAAGCACAGGAGAACTTCCCAAATGTCCAGAATGCACTGAAAAGTGGTAAATTATTAACTATTTCAGACTGTTTCAGAGAAATACAGAGAGTAGAAGCAGAGATAGCAGTATGTGTTGAGATTAGCTGAGGTGTGAGTTGCTCATTAACATTTCTTTTGTTTCCAAGGGTGGGAAAGGTGTCTGGTGGAGGGAGTAATTAAGGTCACCTGGCAGGGGGTCTTCATGAGGAATTTGAGGTGTGAATGGTCATTAACATATCTTTTGTTTCCAAGGGTGGGAGAGGTCTGAGGGTGTGAATTGGTCATTAACATATCTTTGGTTTCCAAGGGTGGGAGAGGTCTGAGGTGTGAATGGTCATTAACATATCTTTTGTTTCCAAGGGTGGGAGAGGTCTGAGGTGTGAATGGTCATTACAATGTGTGACAAGCTTGGTAGGAACATCCTGTGTTTAGTGTTTTGTCCATCTGAGTACCTTGAAAACGCTTTGCATGCATTTTTCATGATGAAAAAAGGCTCTGGACAGCATCGGGAACTGGAAGAGTTAAAAAAAATTTCAAACACTTATGAACGCGATTTTCCGCATTTTGCGTTTGAAAAGCTGATAAAATTGACTGCTGAACGCAAGTTTGGTGCGTTCAAGAAAACGACTGTAAACTCAAATGCCTGTAAAAGAAGATGTGTACATGGACACATAGGAAAACATTAGGGAGAGAACAGGGGCTGCTGAAAAAAACACAGAAACGCTCCTAAACGTGCGTTTATCAGCCGCAGTGTATATGGGGCCCTTATGGCGGTTGTTGAGTTGGGCCCTCATTCTGATTATTTCAGGAAGTTGAATGAGTTACAATGTTGCTTCTTATAGTCTCTGTATCATGCGCACACTGTGAACAGCGCTGTGGAAGATGTTGGCGCTATACTATGGAGTAATTAAAAAAAAAAAATACAATCTTTTAGAAATCTCCAGTCCTTGTCTGCAGCATTCCAGTGTCAGGACGCCTTTCCCAGAACGACCAGTCAGCCGAGCAACAGCAATCTCTGCTCGGCCAGCTGTGCTCCTTGGCCGCAGCGCGCGGCGGTTTGGGATTTGTCATCGGATACTCACTGTTCAGATAATCACAGACCAAAATGTGCATTTGTAACACAAATCAGAGCAGAGCTCCAGCAATGACTCCCCCCCCCCCCCCCCCCCACCGTGTGTGGATCTGTTTATCTAATGGAGGGTGGAAAACTACAAGTGGCCTGCAAACAACGACCTGAACGACCAAACCGTCATTTCAAAAGCCATTTTCATTCTCTTTTTTTTATTTAAAAACCGCAACTTTTATTAAAATAATCTCTGGTGATCCTGCCGGGACGGTCCTTGTTCAGACACCTCCTGCTATAGGGTGACAACACTCTGTCCTTGCCTCCTGATTGCGCTCCTGCATGGTCACATTGATCGCCACATATTAAGTAGCGTTGTCCCGTCCTGAGAAATACCATGCAGCCATTGCTAGAATGCATGTATATACCTGCAAAGAGGCTGCAGGAGATCAGCAGCACTGCAATGCAGCAAAGTATCAAAGTCAAACACAGTATTAAATATGGAAATTGTTTCTCATGCACAGTACCTTCCACAGTACCTTCAGTACCCTCCATAGTACATTCAGTACCTTCCACAGTACCTTCCACAGTACCTTCAGTACCCTCCATAGTACATTCAGTACCTTCCACAGTACCTTCAGTACCCTCCATAGTACATTCAGTACCTTCCACAGTACCACAGTACCTTCCACAGTACCTTCAGTACCACAATACCTTCAGTACCTTCCACAGTACCTTCAGTACCACAGTACCTTTCACAGTACCTTCAGTACCACAGTACCTTCCACAGTACCTTCAGTACCACAGTACCTTCCACAGTACCACTGTACCGTCCACAGTACCTTTCACAGTACCTTCAGTACCACAGTACCTTCCACAGTACCTTCACTACCACTGTACCTTCCACAGTACCTTCAGTACCACAGTACCTTCCACAGTACCTTCAGTACCTTCCACAGTACCACAGTACCACAGTACCTTTCACAGTACCTTCAGTACCTTCCACAGTACCACTTTACCGTCCACAGTACCTTCAGTACCACAGTACCTTCCCCAGTACCACAGTACCTTCAGTACCACAGTACCTTCCACAGTACCACAGTACCTTCAGTACCACAGTATCTTCCACAGTACCTTCAGTACCTTTCACAGTACCTTCAGTACCACAGTACCTTCAGCATCACAGTACCTTTCACAGTACCTTCAGTACCACAGTACCTTCCACAGTACCACTTTACCGTCCACAGTACCTTCAGTACCTTCAGTACCACAGTACCTTCCCCAGTACCACAGTACTTTCCACAGTACCACAGTACCTTTCACAGTACCTTCAGTACCACAGTATCTTCCACAGTACCTTCAGTACCTTTCACAGTACCTTCAGTACCACAGTACCTTCCCCAGTACCACAGTACCTTCAGTACCACAGTATCTTCCACAGTACCTTCAGTACCTTTCACAGTACCTTCAGTACCACAGTACCTTCCCCAGTACCACAGTACCTTCAGTACCACAGTACCTTCCACAGTACCAAGCTCAATGTCATTCAGTTATAGTTTACATCTACTTTAAAGTGGCCTCAACAGACCCCTAAAGGCTTTTGGAGGCGGGACCACTTGTATAGATGCCAATGGTCCCAGATTTGTTGGGACAGTCTGGCATCTTGGCTCTCTGTTCCCCTGATGTTGTGTCCAGGGCTATGTCCTGAGATCACAGCATCAACCTTGAGTTACCTGCAGGGATCGGGTCACAAGTGGGCAGTCCCTGCAAATGTAGCGGCAGGGGTCTGTGCAAGATCACGGCCATCTTAACGCAGGGCCCCCCTGCAGTTACACCCCCCCCCAGTAGGGGGAATCACATGCGGTGGGTGGAGAAAAATACTGGAACGGTTCTTCTGCATGGCTCTCCCCACCACAGCTGAAAGCCGGAATATCCTCCCTCCAGCCGGCTTTCAGCTGCTGCAGGGAGAGCCATGCAGAAGACTTGTTCCAGTCATTTCCCCCAGCCTCTGCACTGGTCACCTGCTTCATCCACATGCCATTCCCTCTGTTGCCAGGCCCCCCCCCCCCCCCCCCCAGTGTGCCCCTTGCCGTTTGTCTGCTACGCAATGTACAGTTTACTATGCTTCAGTTTGTAAATGAACAGGAAGCCTCGGAGCGCTCTTCCTAGTCATTCATCGCCAGTGCAGCTGAGGCTTCAGAGAAAGGGACCGGCAATCTCTGTCCTCAGCCCTTCTCTCTGTCCCAAAAGTGAAACATCAGAGGTCTGTTTAGACCCCTGGTATCTCACCAAAGACTGCGCTGTGAAAAAAAACCTGTAAGAAATTATTTTTGAAAATTGTAAAAAAAATAAATAATAAATAAAAATGTTAAAAATATAAAATTGTAAAAAAAGTATTTGAAAATTGTAAAAAAAAATAATAATAATAATAGTTAAAAATGTTAACAATATAAAATTATAAAAAAATTATTTGATAATTGTAAAAAAAAAAATATTAAATTTTAAAAAGATAAAATTATAAAAAAAATGATTTAAAAATTGTAAAAAAAATTAAAAATTAAAAAAAATAGAAAAAATTGTAAAAAAAATAATTGAAAACATTAATACAGGGAAAAGAGTTTAAAGTGTACAGAAGGGCAGTGGGTAGAGAGGGTGGAGTAGTGTGTACAGGGGGTGAATGTGTACAGGGGGTGAATTTAATTCCCTGGTTGTGTTTATTGGTCATTTCTAATCAGACTAATAAGCCAATAGGTAGCATAATTTAGCCACACCCCTTTTTTGCTACAGCACGCTAGGCACCACCTCCCTGGTAGGGGCCCCAGTGCATTACTTTGCCCAGGAACACATCCTCATAGTGTAGTAAAAGTATTAGAATTTATCGCCTCATCGTACCTCAACGTACACCAATCATGAATATAAAACAGCATGTCACCTTGTATTGAATGGTAAGTTTCTAACCAACAAGATGGCTGCCGCATTCCGCTACATGCTGATGTCACACGCTCTGGCTCCTTCCTACACGTTTCGTCACCAATGTCGGCGTCGGGGGCCTATTTTATATATCTTCATCTTGTGGATTGGACTTAAGTTTAAAGATGTTTTGAAGCGCCGCACTTTTGTATATTATTTTATATGTATTGTTACCTGCAATGTTGTGGCGGCCGCTCAGGTAGGTTGAATATTCATTCTTTCATTTCATAATTTTATATACCATAGCGGGGAATTCTAAAGATTTTTTTGATATTATTATTATTACTATTATTATACAGGATTTGTATAGCGCTGACAGTTTACGCAGCGCTGCTAGTATCCCAACACAGGGAACTCAGGTCAGGAGAGGCAATAGCCGGATATTATCCTCGGAATATCATTGCTGTCCTTTGTGATACTGAATAAAGTCAGGGATGGCGGCCAGTGCTGGAACTGTTATCTATTTATTTCTGAGGACAAAATGATCTCCTGAAGAATATAAAGTGCTCAGTACTTACCTGGGCCCGGACGGGATCTGTGAGGTAGAGGGAGAGTGTGAAAAGGGCCACGAGTCTGCAAAAAAACACACAAAACCAATAATAGCGACATGAAAAGATCCTCATTATAAACACAAATTCATTTCTAGGATGATCTGCTCATTATACCCCCAGCTCTGAGACTCAGTGATGTCACCGCTCTCTAGTGAATGGATAGGCTGCATTCTCAGTGATGTCACCGCTCTCTAGTGAATGGATAGGCTGCATTCTCAGTGATGTCACCGTCACCGCTCTCTAGTGAAGGGATAGGCTGCATTCTCAGTGATGTCACCGCTCTCTAGTGAAGGGATAGGCTGCATTCTCAGTGATGTCACCGCTCTCTAGTGAAGGGATAGGCTGCATTCTCAGTGATGTCACCGCTCTCTAGTGAAGGGATAGGCTGCGTTCTCAGTGATGTCACCGCTCTCTAGTGAAGGGATAGGCTGCGTTCTCAGTGATGTCACCGCTCTCTAGTGATTCTCGGTGATGGATAGGCTGCATTCACCGCTCTAGTGATGTCACCGGTGATGTCACCCCTCTCTAGTGAATGGATAGGCTGCATTCTCAGTGATGTCACCGCTCTCTAGTGAATGGATAGGCTGCTCTAGTGAATGGATAGGCTGCGTTCTCTGGTGATGTCACCACTCTCTAGTGAATGGATAGGCTGCATTCTCAGTGATGTCACCAGTGATGTCACCGCTCTCTAGTGAATGGATAGGCTGCATTCTCAGTGATGTCACTCGCTCTCTAGTGTGAATGGATAGGCTGCAGTTCCTCAGTGATGTCACGGCTCTCTAGTGAATGGATAGGCTGCAGTTCTCAGTGATGTCACCGCTCTCTAGTGAATGGATAGGCTGCATTCTCGGTGATGTCACCCCTCTCTAGTGAATGGATAGGCTGCATTCTCAGTGATGTCAGCGCTCTCTAGTGAATGGATAGGCTGCATTCTCAGTGATGTCACCGCTCTCTGGTGAATGGATAGGCTGCATTCTCAGTGATGTCACCCCTCTCTAGTGAATGGATAGGCTGCATTCTCAGTGATGTCACCGCTCTCTGGTGAATGGATAGGCTGCATTCTCAGTGATGTCACTGATCTCTGGTGAATGGATAGGCTGCATCCTCAGTGATGTCACCACTCTCTGGTGAATGGAATGGATAGGATGCATCTCTCAGTGAATGGATGTCACTGATCTCTGGTGAATGGATAGGCTGCATCCTCAGTGATGTCACTGATCTCTGGTGAATGGATAGGCTGCATTCTCAGTGATGTCACTGATCTCTGGTGAATGGATAGGCTGCGTTCTTAGTGATGTCACTGATCTCTGGTGAATGGATAGGCTGCATCTCAGTGATGTCAGTGATGTCACAGTGATGTCTCTGGTGAATGGATAGGCTGCATCCTCAGTGATGTCACCGCTCTCTGGTGAAATGGATAGGCTGCATCCTCAGTGATGTCACCGCTCTCTGGTGAATGGATAGGCTGCATCCTCAGTGATGTCACCGCTCCTGGTGAATGGATAGGCTGCATTCTCAGTGATGTCATCTCAGTGATGTCAGCTCTCTGGTGAATGGATAGGCTGCATCCTCAGTGATGTCACCGCTCTCTGGTGAATGGATAGGCTGCATCCTCAGTGATGTCACCGCTCTCTGGTGAATGGATAGGCTGCATCCTCAGTGATGTCACCGCTCTCTGGTGAATGGATAGGCTGCACTCCCTAGTGGTCACTGCTCTAAGTTAATGGATAGGCTCTTTGGCAAATATAAAAATATTATTTTAGTTACTCATGGTGTAAACAAGTTTCTTTTGATTTGCCCGTCTGATATGTTGCAGACTTTATATAAAGCCTCATCAACGCCAAGGCCAAGAAAAAGATAAGTGTTTCAATTCTTTGTTTTGACGTTTTCAAAAAGATGATGAAAAAACATGCCGAGGCAATGAAGGAATGTTCCGTGATCCTCAGATAAATGTGTCTCCAGGAGGGTTGTCACAATTAAAAATAAAACATTTTCTCTTGTCAAATAAAATCTAAAGACATGTGTCTGTTAACCCTTCTCCTGCTGTGTCTGGCGATCAGAAGATGTCTCCGTGGGCTGTGCCGGGGCCCCGGGGCCAGAAAAGTGCAGTGTGGATTGTTCTGCCAGTTCAGGCTTAATGAAACATTTTTCTTGGCTCTCGGCGGCGGGGTCTCTGGGAAAGAACGGTCTGCCGTAATGATTCATTAATTTGTGGAAAAACCTCAGGAAAACAACGTACCGACTTCCCTCTCAATTCATTTCACATATTCGTTCTCCCCACTTATAGGTAAACACTTAAAGGAACACTCCGTGCAAACAGCAATTATTTTGCCGGGAAAAAAACCTACTTATCAAGTGGCTCTAATTTCCACCCCGGTATTCATTTTATATGGCTAAAGTCCAAGAGCGAGGATGATGCTGGATCTGCTGCCTTCCCCCTGATAGGAGCGGTCTCTAGTGAATGGATAGGCTGCATTCTCAGTGATGTCACCGCTCTCTATTTTTCTTGGCTACTCGCGGCTGGGCGGGGGTGGAAAGAACGGTCTGCCGTAATGATTCATTAATTTGTGAATGGATAGGCTGCATTCTCAGTGATGTCACCGCTCTCTAGTGAACGGATAGGCTGCATTCTCAGTGATGTCACCGCTCTCTAGTGAATGTATAGGCTGCATTTTTGGTGATGTCACCAATCTCTAGTGAATGGATAGGCTGCATTCTCAGTGATGTCACACAATCTCTATAGGCTGTGAAGGGATAGGCTGCATTCCCTCAATTGATGTCACATATTCGCTCTTCTAGTGAACTCTAGTGAGGAATACTAGGCATTTTGCTGCTTCTCAGTGATGTCAGGCTGCCCCGGTATTCACTCTTTGAATATAGTGAAATGGATCTGCTGCATTCTCAGTGATGATCATAGGATTCTAGTGAATGGATAGGCTGCATTCTCAGTGATGTCACCGCTCTCTAGTGAATGATAGGCTCATTCTCGTGATGTCATAGGCTCTCTAGTGATTGGATAGGCTGCATTCTCAGTGATGTCACCGCTCTCTAGTGAATGGATAGGCTGCATTCTCAGTGATGTCACCATCTCTAGTGAATGGATAGGCTGCATTCTCAGTGATGTCACCACTCTCTAGTGAATGGATAGGCTGCATTCTCAGTGATGTCACCACTCTCTAGTGAATGGGTAGGCTGCATTCTCAGTGATATCATAGGATTCTAGTGAATGGATAGGCTGCAGTTTCAGTGATGTCACCGCTTTCTAGTGAATGGATAGGCTAAATTCTCAGTGATGTCATAGGATTCTAGTGATTGGATAGGCTGCATTCTCAGTGATTTCATAGGATTCTAGTGAATGGATAGGCTGCATTCTCAGTGATGTCACCCATCTCTAGTGATGGATAGGCTGCATTCTCAGTGATGTCACCACTCTCTAGTGAATGGATAGGCTGCATTCTCAGTGATGTCACTTGTCTCTAGTGAATGGATAGGCTGCATTCTCAGTGATGTCATAGGCTCTCTAGTGAATGGATAGGCTGAATTCTCAGTGATGTCACCACTCTCTAGTGAATGGATAGGCTGCAATCTCGGTGATGTCAGGACTCTCTAGTGAATGGATAGGCTGCATTCTCAGTGATGTCACCCGATTCTCTAGTGAATGGATAGGCTGCATTCTCAGTGATGTCACCCATCTCTAGTGAATGGATAGGCTGCATTCTCAGTGATGTCACCTCTCTCTAGTGAATGGATAGGCTGCATTCTCAGTGATGTCACCTGTCTCTAATGAATGGATAGGCTGCATTTTCAGTGATGTCACCACTCTCTAGTGAATGGATAGGCTGCATTCTCAGTGATGTCACCGCTCTCTAGTGAATGGATAGGCTGCATTTTCAGTGATGTCATAGGATTCTAGTGAATGGATAGGCTGCATTCTCAGTGATGTCACCGCTCTCTAGTGAATGGATAGGCTGCATTCTCAGTGATGTCACCGCTCTCTAGTGAATGGATAGGCTGCATTTTCAGTGATGTCATAGGATTCTAGTGAATGGATAGGCTGCAATCTCGGTGATATAGCCAGAAATTCTACCTCCTGATTGTCTGTAATTTCCATCCTGGTATCAATAGGCCAAGCCATTCGGTGAATTTCTAGAACAGATGTTATTATCTGCTTGAAAATGCAGCCTGCGAGTCCCCCATTCCTGCACCGCGCTGTCAGCAGTGATTAACGTTCAGCCCGCAGGCTGTGTATGGCCAGGAGGTCCATTCAGTCCTAGTAGTAGGATGTATATGTCCTGATCACACGTCTGCCCCCATATATACATATCATTGTAAGCTATACGGAGACTCAGTATATAAATCATCATCACCCACCCACTGGATCAATGAACTCTGTATGATATTTCAGCGTGTTATATGGGAACGTTGATGGTCGCCTTTGAAGGAGATCGCCGTCATCCAAGCATTTCATCTCACTGATAATTTGGAAAGTTTGGAGCTCCGATCTACGGAATGAGAACTCAGCGACTCCCGATCAGATATTTAGTAGGTGTGTGGTGAAGATCGCTCCCTGCGCCCTCCACCTCTTACTACATTTTCTGTCGGTATACTTTGATTTTTGTAGGAAGTTTAGACGACTACAAATATTCCAGAAATGATCTCATCTTTAATATGGATGGAAAGCCAATGACTAAAATCTCATGGAAGCTTTCACATGCTAAAGTTTACCTGGCTTATGTTTTGCATTCTGTGGTTCCTCCCACCTCCCCTCATCAACATACTAAACACTTTCTACACAAAAATCTTTCTGGTTTCATTACATACTGTGGCAGGGCTATGCCTGGTCAGAGAGGACATATGTCATAGAGGGATCTAAAAGGTGAAGGTGAGAGGCTGCAGAAAGTCTATTTGGAGAGAAGACAACAAATTTTAAAGTTTACTTCAGGAATGGAAATTGGCAAACTTGGGTTCTGGAGTCCAAAGGCTTTGTAGAGACTTGGGAGGAATGAAACCTCTAACCCTGGATCCAC